TCTTATCTTATCTTATCTTATGGACTGTCTCCATTAGATTATTCAACTAACAATGGATCCCACGTGCACTTTAATAACCAGTTCTGCTCAGTTATTCATCTGCAGAAAGCTGCTGGCTAGCGGGAGCGACCTGGTCACATGACAGACTGAACAAAGAAGAATCCGTTCTCTGTTTTGTGGTGAGAGATAAAACCTTGTCAACAAACACAAACAAAGCTCAGATCACATGACTCAAGAAAGCTAATGTAGCAGCTAACATCTGTTACTTTTTGACAAAGAAATAACCTTTAATTACACTATAATAATTACATTTTCATGACATAGACTTTACACATTGTGCAAAAACAATATACACAATATATGGACCGCTTTGTTCAATCTGCACAAAAACCAAAGTGTAAAAATGATTATTTGCTGTTGTATGTGGGGTTATGTGTCCCTGACAATAAACAAAAGAGATATGTTAATTACTGAGCTTTAAAGGAGCTCGTAAGGTGGATTTTGTTACAGAGCCAGGCAACATGTTTTCCTCTGTCTCCAGTCTTTATGCTAAGCTAGGCTAACTGGCTGTAGTTTCATATTTAAAGTACAGACACAAGAGCTGTATATATCTGAACCTCCAACTCTCAGCAAGAAAGTGAGTGTCCACATCACACACATAACTAACTGTAACTGATTACACAAACTTCAACACACATGAATAATCTAAAACCACAAACACAGTTGCATTGTGGGAACTGACGGGCGTTAATGCAAAGTACATGTGATGTTTGTTGAATCAGCTAAAACCAGAGAATAACTGCGGTTTGTTTTCTTTAAGCAGCTTCAAAACACTGTGCGAGTCTATAATTAGATTAATTAGTCTGAGCTTCATAAACAGTCGAGTCTTCAGCTGCAGACACGAGCACACGACAGGACACCACATGCAAACACACAACACAGCACGCACACCCACACACACTATACAGTTCATTACTGATCATCATTCAGTGTCGTCAGGGTCACACATTATTCAGGGTTGAGGCCAAAAAAGTCGTCCTTTTGCATCTATTTGTTGTTTTGTTTTTATTATAAATGTGTTATTTGGCTGTTTACATCCACCCGTTATTTTAGATAATAAACATAAATGTATGTGTTTTTGTATTTTCCCTTATATAACAGCGAACACTAAATGATGGTCAGTATGTACCACAGTTTGTGTTGTCCGCCTGCGTCATAGACTGCAGTCATCAGCAGAGACGACAGAAACAATGGAAACATAAAGTCAGACAGAAACATCCACAAAGAAGAAGAAGAAGAAGCAAAGACGTCTCACTCTGCTCTGCCAACCAAAGTCTGACCTCCTGATATGGTTTTTCTTTCAAATAAAATCAAACTCTCTGTGAGAATAAAAATAAATACATAATAAAAACAAAGTCAAGGAATGAATAGATAGAAATACAACACTGTTCAAACGAACTTTCACCAGTTAGCATAGAAATATTCAACATTTTTACAGTGATGTCAGAAATAAGATCATTAATATTATGTATTATCAATAATTTTACAAGATATGTTCCAAGTCTGTACAGGGTTTGAAATGGTAATGAACAAAATGAATAAAGTGTAATGGAGAGATATCTTTTTGAAATGTTCCAGCGTTTCCCAAACAGTCTGTTTTATTACTGTCAACAAATCCATGAAATGATCAAAATCAACAATTAATTGATTGTTTACAGCGGTTAAATTAACGTTACTGTTATTTTATTCATGTCCGTCCAGCCGTGAAAAGCTACATTAGCTAGCCAGGCTAAATTAGCTTAGAGCCAGACGTCTTCAACCAAGAGTCGCAGTTCTATCATAAAGTAAAAGTACAAAAGCTATGAAAAATGATAAATAATGAATAGGAAACACTTTATTAAAACTAGAGATGTTCCGGTACTATTTTCTTCTTCCCAATATCTGAACTCTGTGTATCGGCCAATACATGAACTTTCTTTTATTACGTAGTTTGACTTATATTTAGCTGGCTTTGGCTAACGATGCCGGAAATCAACTCTTCCCTAAAACAGGAGTGCCCAGTGCCAGCAGAGCACATATGACCCGCCTTTCTCTGCCTCTGATTGGCTAGTACTTGTTGCCTTTGTTGATTAGGGTAAGCATATAAGTATTTCAGAGTGAGTCATAACTTTGCCTTTCTGGGAAAAAATCGGCACACGTGACACTTCTGGAAAGTAGCGAGGTCGCGTTTGAAAGCTATTCAATTTCGTAATATCAGATCAGTATCCAAAACCCGATGCAGCATTTAAGGCTGTATCGGAGGCATCTCTGACACTCGTATTAGTATCGGAACAACCCTAATTAAATCTAAAGGCCATAATTCACAGATTTACCCTCCTGCCCAAAATCTGATCCCTCTCACAGTCCTTGTCCACCAGTGGGGAGCCGGCATCGGTATCGACCTCCACATTAAGGTGTTTCTATAACTTATATGTAATTAGCTTGTTGAGCTTGTTAATATTTATATTGTTGTTTTGATCTTCTCCCTCTCTTTGTAGATTTAAAAAAAAATCTTTTTACTTTAAATACGATGTCCGGCTGCAAGAGAATCCAGGAGCTGGTTCAAGAACCAATTTGTGGAAAAGGGGCCTCCGTGTGACACCTGAAACTGAAAGAGGATCATGATCTTGGACACCTTCATCAATCTGGTTTTATCCTGAGAATATACTTTGTCCTGTTCACACATACATTTTTTTAAGTTTGAAGTATCTGTTGACGAAATGACTAGTTTTATTCCATCTGAGACAAGAAATAAATAAAAGTATTAAAGAATTTTGGGGTCTATTTCCTGCTTATTAGTGGACTTTGATGAACTGTCGACTTGACTTTAAAGGTCACCACACTTCAGAGGTCTCTGCTCTCAAGTTACACTACTGCCTGGTCTGTGCATGTGTGTGTGACCTAAAAAAATACTGCAGGTTATTATTTATTCACAACTGATCTCAATTCAGAACATGGTTTCGGGTAGCATCCCTAGTTCGCAGCTACTGTAAACACATTACACACGGTATTTTTAAAGACTGCCACAGACAGCGTGGAGCAGCCAGGAAGTATAAAGAGACAAACACAGCTTTGGTTTTGGTTCCTGCGTGAGATTTGTTGACAACAATAACAAACAAAAGTTGTTTAAATTGTGCATAAAGGAAATCAGAAGCTAGTTACTAATGGTAGTTGAAATGAACTATTCACATATAAAACGTTTTCTCACATTACAGAACACATCTCTCGCCGCCTTCAGGAGGAAAATGAAACAAGGCGATCTGAAGGTGTAGCAGGAGATCTTATTATTTTCTCAAATAATAATGGACTGTGGCCCCATTTACACATATCTTTTCAAATGTCACATATATGGACACCATCCAGACATGATTTAATACACTTTCATTTTCATTTAATACATTTTCTTTCACTTCCAAATGTTTTATGTCTCTTTGTAGGTTTCTGCATCTGTGTGTAGTTTATTTTTGGCTCTTTATTGTCATTCGGTATCTTTGAAGTGGTTTTAATTCTCTTTGTAGTCATGTTGCAGATTGTAGAGTTAAAATTGAAGGGAATCCTTCTTGGATGCATTTACAGCTTTTTACAGATCCAATAGTAATCCAATCTGCCCAAGAAGTAAAGTGTAAATGGGGTCAATTTCCCTCAGATTTCTGTCCAGGACCTGCACAGTATGTCCAGTTAAATATTATTTCTTTGTATGAAAGCTGATGGACCTCAATAGTGAACTGGAACACTGTCAAAGTGGAGGACTGGACCTTTAAAAAAGTGCTTATAACATCAGTCAGAGTGAGTCTGGACTCCAACGTCCAGACAGGAAACACAAACCTGTGTTCTTCTTCGGTCTCTCTCAGCTGATGATGAAGACTCTCGGCCCCTCCTCTCTCATAGGAGGCAGACTCTCTATCACCATGTTGTCCATCAGTCCGTATTTATCCTCTTTTCTATTCCTCCTTCTTCCTTCTCCTCCATCTCCTTCTGCTCGTGGACTGGCTGAAATCTCATCTGTGAGCCCCTCCCTCTCCACCGGCTGAGACAGATGACTGGTCAGCTCCCTCATCGTCACCTGCAAGACATCGAAGCATGTTTTATTACGTCTACCTGTTGCACTTTGTAGCCTTACAGCCTGTAACCAAAACAGAATATCCACTATTTCTTTCTCTGAACTCTGATCCATGGCCAAAAGTATGTAAGGCTGGTTCTCAGTCCGCTTTCCAGTTCGTCCAACCGTCATCAGAAACTTTGAGTGGAGTCTTAGCTATAAAAGCACTTTAATGTGGAGGGCAGGGACCACCGACCTGCAGCTCTTTGAAGAGGTGCAGCATGGCCACGCCCACCACGATGACCAGGAAGGCGCCCAGTGTTGTGACCACGTCCACCACCGCCATGCTCCGCCACTCCTGGAAGAGGATGATGGAGGTGGACAGAACCACGGAGGTGAAGAGGACGTAGTAGATTGGGTAGACCAGCAAGGTGTTGAAGGTGTCCAGAGACTTGTTCAGGTAGTTCACCTGCGAGCAAAGAAAAACACTTTTGTATGATTGTCAAACATCATTCTATAGTTTATATGTAAATAGTTAATATTTAGATAATTCTTTTAATCTTCTTCCTCCCTTTGTAGATTTTTTACTTCAAATATACGATGTCCTTGTAGTGAGTCTGGGAAATTATTTCCATCGCTGTATACCAATCAGAATCAGGTTTGCACTATAGTTAACAACAGTAACTCAACCAGTGACAAACTGAATGCAGCCAGACACATAGTGTGATTTCAAACAGTTATTAAACTACGGTATATTTATTATGTTTAATTTGGGACAATGGTTGCTCAGTCTGGGACAGTTGAAAGTAGAATTTGGGACATTGAGATCTGAGAGGTGTAAGAAAATATCGACTCCTGTATCCTGACACGTATTGTATCTTCAGATTCTTGCCCTATGTTTTAACTATCAAGCATTAATGTCATTAAAAAAGACACTCCCTTTATAGAGAGAATAAAAATGATTTTACAGCTTACCTGTGTTACTATGGAGACGATGAGAGTGAAGAGCAGGATCCAGGTGAGAGGACTAGCAAGCACTGAAATATCATCAAACACTAGAAAGAAAGAGAGAGGATAATGAGCATTAACACAGATTCACCTCTTCTGTTGATGCTAAGAACTTGTATTTATACGATAAAAAAGGAATAAAACTCCAACTATAACCATAAAATCAACAGTACTAATATTCTGTAACCGTAACAGTAGAAAAGTTCTACCGTATTTGTTACGGTTGTTGTTGTTAAGTTCCCCATTTTGTTTTTGCAGTATTCTAGACCAATTCCCGGTTTTGGAAAGCGGAAGTTAACAACAGCACAGCTAATAACAAACCACCAAAAGTGTGTATCATTTTATCAAGTTCTTAAAAAAAGACAAGTTAAGGTGGATTTTCATGATTTTCCCAAAGATGAACATTTATCGGACGACTGAAGGAACCAAATTCACCGGCGTTTTGTCGCATTAATTCACTGCAAATGTAACCAGTGTTAGAGTTCGTTCTCTGGTCAAAATATCATTGATTCACCACAATCTTTAAATTTCACCGGGAGTTCAGGCTGAAGATTTTGCTTTTGTTTGGACACTGAATGCTACATTTTGGCACAATCAGTACATATTGGTAGTACACACACATTCTTCTGCCTTAAAAGCTTGTACCTAAATTACCCACAATGCAACTTAACCTTAAACGCTGACTCAAATGACATCACATGAGGACATTTATGAGCCTTCACACAGCGCACAGCTAGGGACAGTAAACTGGGTTATATTCAGCAGAATCCTCCAACAAACACAACCTGGCTTTTGTTTTAAATCAATTGATTTTGAATTCCGAAAAACATGGTAACGTTTTCTGTCTCTCACCGCTGTTGATGGCGATGGCGAGGCCCTTCACGGAGGAGACGGTGAAGGCTCCCAGCAGCGAGCAGATGCTGATGTAGATGAGGATGTTGGTGCGACCGAACCGAGGAGAGAAATACAGCACGAGTATCGCACAGAGAACCAAAACCACCGACATGTACACCAGGAAACCTAAAGCGCGCACACACACACACACACCACACGAGTTAATTACTGGAAAGCACATCCTATTTTTACTGAAACCAGAAATCGATGTTGTCCTCTTGTCAATTATTACAACAGACAAGTCAGTTTTTATAAGTTCAGATCCAAGTGTCTCTGTGTTTTGTCACTCATCAATCCGGTTGAAGGCAGTCACATCTTCATCTGCTTTACATTTAAAATGTCCAAACAGGAGTCTCAGTGGGACATTTTGGAAATACATTAGAATTAAGCTCAACATCATGCACCCTCCGAGCTTTACTGGTGTATAGCATGCTCAATATGTGGCCTACCTGTACAACACGCTTTGTATGAGTTTATCTCCCGTTTAATGTCAGGTTGTTCAGTTATAATGACCCAACAGGATCATTCAAATAATCAGGTTTTAATTTTAAATAATATAATAATGAATAATAAAAGTCGGTTAACGTAACAGGAAGTTGACCCGTATGTATGTAAACGCTTTATTAACGCCGTCCTCACCGGGCCTCAAGCAGAGCTTGTTTGGATCATATCCTGGTAGTGATGTCACTTCCTGCGATTCCCTGTGGAGCGTGATAACCAACAAGATAGATTCCCAGCACGCACAGCGAAAACCAGCCCCAGTTTCCCCACCACGATTCCAAACACCTCCACCCCAACCAGGTGAGGAAGGACAGAACTGCCACTGAACGACACACACACACACACACAGCCACAAAACCATGGGAGTCAGTTATTCTCCATTAATCTCAAAAGCAGCTCATGTAAATAATATCATTTGTCCGGTTTGGCTCCCGAATAAAAAGTGTCTGTCTGATTGTATTCTTTAACTACTTCCTGTGCTGATAAAGTGGAGTTAAAGGAAACTACGGCGTACCTGATCGCAGGACCTCCAGAGCGCCCAGCGGAGTCACCAGCGTGCCGAGCAAGACATGTGGGCCAAAGTTACAGGCCTCTCCCTGCGTCCACTGCACACGACCAGACCAGACGGACGGAGGAGGATGAAAGGTCAGTTTCATAGATACAGGATGAATGGATGTGAAAGACTGACAAACAAAGGGGAAAACCTGCCAAGCCTAAGTCCATGTTAAAGAGCCATTATTATGTGCAGTTACACCAAAGAGGAAATAAACTATATAGAGAGAGTTATAATGAGAGAAATGTTTTCTGCTTTAAATCTACTCATAAATAAACTACGAAGAAAAAAGATATTATAAATATGTTTATGTTATGAAGTTATATTATCTTGTCCATACGTGAAGCAGAAAACACGCTTATAGTAAGAACTAATACTATTAATATTTAAGAGACCTTTTTTTTAAATTTTCGCTTATAAGAGAATTTGAATAAGACATCTGCTTAAAGTCAAAGTTACTTTTAGTAAACTAATAGCTTTCTTGTATGATCAGTTATTGCGTAAAGATAATTGAATTGAAGTTACTTTCGAGAGAAAGTAAACTAGTGATTGCCTCAGCTTTGCTAAATCAGTAGGAATGCACAAGTTAATTAAACTGAGATTAACTGAGCATTAACTGAGTGAATTGATAAAATGCTTTTATGTGGATCATAAACTCAGATAGAAACTACTTACCTGGTTAACAGGCACTCCCACCCAACGAACCAGTCCTTCAGGTAGCCATGACCCTTCACCGCTGCACACACACACACGACACACAGAAGTATATTTCCACATTACAGAGACATACACATCCGAGGAACTATTCTAGTCTAGTCAAGTGGAATACAAAACATGTTGTCCGAGTTGACGCAAACCCGTTGTTTGCCGTACACACAGTGCAAACAGTCTTTATCTCAAACTGTTTCTTCCCTCCAGGTTTTCCCCTTATTTATCCCTGATCGCCCAAACAGGTGTTTGCCCTTATACCTTGTGTGAGCGCCGACGTCCCCCGATCGATGTTGTATCAGTACTTACCGACCTTGAAGCTGCTCTCATTGGCTGCATTGCGTTTCGGAAAACGAGACTGGTAGGCATCGCTTGCTCAACAGGATCTTTGGTATTCCAGATAACAGTAACAATATGTTTGTGAACAGTCAACAACAGATCTGGATCCATATCTATCAGCACTGTTTGACACAGTTTGTGCATCCTGAGTTTGTGCGTTGAGCCCGGACGGGGACCTCACTGAGGAATGACCTGTCAAGTCAAGCAAGGTAGCCCGCCCTAAAGCTGCCCTTGCTTTTAAATGGTCTGTTTGACTCTAAAAAATGGGACCCATCAGTTACTAAATGCAGCCAGTGTAGCTCCCCCTGCTGGCGCTGTTACACAAAGAATGCAATGATTAACACTTCACAGATTTCTGAAACTCTGTCTGTTATTATGGTTTCCCATTTTATTTCCTTAAAATCACCTTGATGTGGGTGATTGTAATAGTGATAATAAATAATAACCATATATAGTGAGAAAAAAAAATGCCATTATTCTTTCTTTAAAAGAGAGAGACATAATAAAGAGAGGAAGAGATATATACGTTTTGTCCTTCTTTCAGTTTAATATCATTAACAGAGACGTAAAAGTCAAATAACGTGTCCATACACAAGAAAGACACAAGACTTATAGTGTCCTAACTAAAACCAGTAAAAGGAGCTGACGCATGAGCAACTCTGAGTTTACCCCACT